TTCATGTGGGCCGAACCAAGTTCTCAAATCAACTCAGAAACTTCATCAGGTATGAATAATCAAGATTTGGGTTGTAAGGCTCAAGAATTTGAAATGAAGATTGTTTTGCTGGAGGCTGAATTGAAAGTTCTGAAGATGAAGATTTCAATGCTTGAAGATTCTATTGGGAAATTTGATTCTCAAGTGAAGTTGATGATGGACAGGATGAAGAGAATTCACTTGTTTATTGTTGGTATTTGTATTGGTTTGATCTTATGTGTTTTAGTGAAATAAAGACTGAATTNTGATCTTATGTGTTTTAGTGAAATAAAGACTGAATTGTTCATTCAAAAAAAAAGTGGGATCTGTTCTAATGTACTGAATATTTGTTGGTTGATTATGAAGTGGACTGATTTCTGTGTTTGTTGCTTATGAAGTGTATTGAATTGATATGTTGCAGAAATATTTTTAGCTGAGATCAAAATTCAGATATTGTCAACTGAGATCACACAACAATTGAATAAGGTGTAAAAACACAACACTTTAAAACCAATCACCATTCACCATAAATCATCCATTACAAATCAGATCCAAAAAACCATTCAAGCCAAAACAACACAACATCTCATAACCATAACCTTCCCAAAAAAAACAACACAGTTTTTTCACTTTTCACCATCACACCATAACCATAACCATTCACAGCAAAAACATTCACAGCAAAACAACTTTGAAGTACAAAACACAAAAAACTGTCAAGTTCATAACAACACATTCAGAATAGTCATCAATCATCCATCATCACAGCAATTTCTGTTTTCCTCTGCCATCATCACTCTTCTTTGGATTGTTCATGCCAGATATAANCAGTCTGGGTTATACATTGAGTTTAATAGTCGATATCACGTTCAGGTATGTATATGAGTTTTATCCACTTGGGTTAAGGCCCAGTTTGCCTTCCCTAAGTTCTGGTGGTGGCCCAGTTTGCCCTAGTTATACCATCAGAGTGTGCACACGGTTACCGGCCAGAGTGTTCCGGGAGTTACCGGCCAGAGAGTTCCGGGAGTTACAGTTTACTTATATATACCGGTTTGTGATATCATTATTAATATTGCTGTTTACTTTAGAATGGGTTTTTATGGAGTACAAGTGGACCGTACTCACCCCCACTTTATATTTTCAGATGGCAGGGTCGGCGGGCAGGCGTGAGTCAAGCTGTGGTGGTGGTGGTCGTGAGTTCCGCACGAAAACTGTTCCCGGGACATTTGTTTAAACTGTTTGTAAACTAAATAATTCCACGCATTTCAGACTTCTGCTATGCTTGTGTTTATTTTCGAACATGCATGATGCTATTTTCAGACCTAAATAATTTTACCCGATTCGCCAGTACGAACGGGTCCAGACTAATACGCATGATTCGTAAAAATATAAACCTGAATTCTTTAAGTCTAAACCAGTTGTTAGACCTAGGGTTAAAGAAACGGGTTTTTAAGCAGAAAAGTCCTTAGCAGCATCCCGAGATAGTTTGCAAATGATTTCGAAAAATTTATAAGCGTTTTCGAAAGAGTTAAAATTTGCGAAAAATTGGCCCTAGTTAGCGGGGTGTTGCAGTTTGAGCCTAGTGTCCCTTTCTGAAAGGCAACTTTCTTGACTTGGTATAAATTGACCCACCTGAAATGTAGGAGGCCCTCTAATGTTCACCCCAGAAGTTGGACCCAACTGAGCAGAAGTATATTGATTGTACATTGAAGGTGCTTGAATGAATTTTGGGACTGTGGTTTGTTTTTTCACTTCCTTTCTTTTCTTGTGGGCTTGGCCTTCACCCTGCAAGATAATTTATAATATAAATACAACTATGAATTTTCAATGATGAAATAAGGCACAAAAAAGTATTTCTTACAGTTACAACACTTTCTTGAGTTGAAATTCCTATTGCAGGAGCTTTGTCTGTCATCCTTCTAGCCTGAAAGAATAAAAAATTTTCTTTTTAGTAAACAAGGTAACATAATTTGAATTCATTATTAAATTTAAACCAACATTATAAAAGTACCTTCAGCTTTTGAGGCCTATCTTCTAGACCAATGGCTGCAAGATCTGCATTACCTTCCTTCATTAGAAGGCAGCCTCTCTTGTTGTGGCCTTCCACATGGCAAACAGTACACTTCAACCCTGTTTGCTGCCTTTTGATAGTATTGGCTGGAGTCACAAGTCGAGGCTTAACCCTTTTTTTTTCTAATTCTTTTAGGTTGAACCTCATCAGGTTCCATTCTCCTCACTCTAGTGGGCCTACCAGCTGCTCTACCATTATTAGGTGGCAATAGAGGGGCATATCCTGTCCTTCTCCATTCTTTTCTGCCATTGATGGGCATTATGGATGGAGCATAAACCTTTTTATAGGTCTCTGTCTTGTAGCATGGATGTATGAAATCATCAATGTTCCAGCCTTGAAAATGAATAGCACTTACTGCATGGATACAAGGAATTCCACTCAGTTGCCACCTCCTACAACCACAACTCTTGTTTTCCAAATCCACTTTGAACTGATCACCATTGAACACCTCAATTTGGAAATTGAAATCATTAGACTTCAATGGGATACAGTCAACCAAATTTTCAATATGGTTATCAATTATCTCCCTCACCTTAGGACAAAATAAAAAATCCCACTTTTCTGCCTTATCTCTATTCAGTTGCAACCTTTTCATCAGGTAATTCATGATCCACTCAAGCATTGATAAGATGGGCATAGTTCTAGCTTCTAAGATGTTGCAGTTGAATGTCTCACAGCCATTATTTAGCAACATGTCACACTTGGGAAACTCACTGAAATGCGACCTGCTCCATTGATGAGGTGGTTTGTCACTTAACCAGTCATAAGCACTCTCTTCCAACACTTTCAGTGCATCTATTTTCCTTGAAAAATCATTGATTGTAGATGTTGTAGCTGCTCTCCAAACTGCATTCTTAAACCCAATCCCTCTAAAACCTGCATTTCTGAAGTTACCCAAAAAGTGCCTCACACAAAACCTGTGATCTGAGTTAGGAAACACTTGTTGAAAGGCCTGAATCAGTCCTTTCTGTTTATCAAAAATAAATGTCCACTCATGTTGCTTTTCAATCTCAAGGTCCAATTTCAACAGCAAAATGAACCACTCCCAGTTGTCTCTGTTTTCCTTTTCAACAATAGCATAAACTAAAGGAAACAAGGAATTGTTAGGATCTACTCCCACAGCACATAGTAGCACTCCCTTGTTGGGGCCTTTCAAGTGACAGCCATCCACTCCAATGATGGGTCTGCAACCAGCTTTAAATCCAACTTTCAGTGCATTCAAGCAAATGTAGAACCTGTCAAACAAGTTCCCCCACTACTATCATCAGTACCCAAAATCACTGTGCTCCCTGGATTAGTCCTTTTAATCTCATCACAGTAATCCCAAAGAAGAGCATACTGGTCATTAAGACAACCAGTCTTTTCTGCAAGTGCTGTCATTTTTGCCCTATATGCTTGTGCTCTAGAGAATGTCACTCTCAGCTCCCTCACTTTACTGTCCCTAAAACCCTTAATCTTTCTATCAGGATCACTTTGCAGCTCATGAGCATATCTACCAGCAAGCCATCTTGATGTAATATTTTTAACCTTTGCTGTGGCAGCACAAGTATGAGTGTGAGTGTACTTTATCACTTGCCAGGCCTCCTCTCCATTGATCTTAGTTGCATGCAGCTTCCAATTACAAGCAGCATCAACACATTTAGCATGAACATACTTCCTATCTCTTCTAGTTAATTTCACACTTCTTTTGCATTTGATTGCATTTGACTGAATTGCTGTCCTCAGTTCACCTTTGGTACTGAAAACCAAACCTACCCTGAAAGTAGGATCATATAACTCTGCAGTGTTGAAAATAGGATACTGGTGACCTACATTCTTTCCTTCAGAACTATCATCACTATGCAAATCATCACAATTGACCATATCAGTTTCATTTTCAGCTGAGATACCATCATTTGCACATTTCTTAACACCTTCCCCCTGACCGTGCAACCATTCAGCATCAAAATCCACATTATCATCAAACATCTTTTCATCTACCTTGTCAGCTTCCATATCATACTCCCAATCCAAAATATCATCATCACTCTCCTCACTATCCTCACTCTCCTCACTCTCCCCACCAACACCACCATCAGCATCAAACCCACCATTCTTAGCCATAAACTCAGCAACCTCATCCACGACCTGATTTAAATCTTCATCACTCTCCTCACCCTCATCAACCTTCTCAGCCTCAATCTCAACCCCAAGCTCACCCTTCTCAACCCCAAGCTCAGTCTCACCCTCACCCTCACCCTCACCATTCTCACCCTCACCCTCACCCTTCTCGCCCTCACCCTCAACCTCACCCTCCTCTGCCTCAACCCCAACCTCAACCTCAACTTCATCCACATTTTCATCAAACAAGATATCATCCAACTTGTCAACTTCACTATCATTCTCCCACTCAAAAGTTTCATCACTATCATCTTCACCAACCTCATTTTCAATTTCAGGTGCATTAACATTTTTTGTATTTTCACTTAGCTCTTCAACAAACAAACTAACCTCCCTAACCTTGTTAATTTGTCTTTGCCACACACTCTCAAGATCAGTCTCAGTTGAAAGTAACATGAAACTCCCACAACCAACATATGTGTGCAGTCTCATAGGATTTTTGCACCCTTTAAATTCTGCCACAGACTTAAAGTCAGCAAGTGTGACCCTTTCATAATCCACATAGTCAAACAATATTGTACTCCCACCTAGATATGCAGAATATTTTTTCCCAATATCAAATTTACCCCCAAATTCTAGGGTGACTGTGAAGAATTTACTAGTTGAACCTGCAGTAACAATAAAAATTACAATGAAAAAGCATCCAGGAAAGGAAAATAGTGTAGACTGACAAAATTGAAATTAAAATTAAATCATTATTTCTTCATTGTGACAACCATGTGACTGCCCACATCGGCTCTTTTCTCAGGAAAAAAAAAACATTAACAAGTATGAGTGAATTCATTGGAAGAAGAAAAAGAAAACCATGATTTAACATATTATATCTAGGAGCTGGGGAACATTCTTTGTCACTGGGTCGTATTTGAATCTCGCAGTCGGAAACACGAAGGCCTCTTGCTAACTTCAAAATGGGATTCGATTTTCGAACTGGTTTTTTCTTCATTGTGACAGTGGTTGATTGATTAAGGTCGAAATTGATGTAAGTGATTGAACTGGAAGATAATCTAGGTTACTTTTTCTTCATTATGTGAGTGATTGAGGTCGAAATTGAAATGAAGATAATCTAGGGTTTTTTCTTTTGAAATGAAATAGGGGCGGGGCAGACGTACAGGTGTGTTGGGATTTCCCTCCAAATTAGGCCTCCTGTCCACGGTGTCGGCCACGTAAATTCCACGCATGAATATACCGAAAGATTAAATGCCACGTAATAAGATAATCAGGCCACGTCAGATTTTTATCCCGCAGGGGTGATTAATGTATCGTTTCCGACGAAAATGCCAACTTCGCGTGTCTTTCCGAGAGGGACAACATAATGTCTCTTTTGTTGACAACGCCCAACTTAGTGTATCTTTTTTGTATTTTTGCCTTTATTGTAGCACTTTAGAAATTACTGGTTTATGTATCATATTATTGTAATATCATTTCCTTCTTAAATTCGTTCATTTTTTCATCTTCTGGTTGATTTTTTTTGTCAAGATTCATTGATTTTTATTGTGATTTGTTTGTGTTATGGTTTCAGGGATGTCGATTGTAGTAAGTGATTATATGGTTATAGGGCTCGGGGCTCCTGTTAACGGGTCAGTGAGTATGGTGTCGTGCCAACTCGAGGTGGAGTTTGCGAAATGACATTGCTGCGGGCTTCCTGAGGAGTGCACCTTAATATACATAGAAACAATCCGAGAAAGGTAATTGATTGTTTGAGAATTTGGATGGGGTTTGATTGGTTTGTTGAGTTTATGTCATTACTCGTATTATTATCATTATGGATTTTATCTTAAAACATATTCCTTAATTTTAATAAAAATATCCTATAAAATTCAAAATTTCTTCGAAAAATGATAAGATCTGATAAAATCAGAAAGGTTTGAGAATATGGGCCCACGATTTGCACATTGAAATTCTTGGATAGTCACCTTAAATCTGGCTTACCCCCACTTCCTCATTTTGACCCCTTTCCTGCGAAAGACCCTAATCCTAGTAGTATTAGGTAGGGTCTTCCACAATATCTAATTTCGTTTGAATATAAAGCAAAATTTTGGTTAATGAAAAACAAATGAATTTGTGACAATACATTTCCTTGTTTCTTCCTCTGTTTTGGGGCCAAATATGAGTCGGGCTTTTAATTTAGGATACTAATTCATAGGTTCTGTATAAAAAAAATAGATTTTTTCTGTCTTTAACTTAGGATTGTTTGATATTTGTCTGGCTTTGTGAATTGGACCTTGGAATTCAATATTTATGCAAAACGAACTATTCCATCTGACATCGACTAGGAATCAGAGGTAGCAAATGAATACAGACTTGTACCTGACACATTGTATCTAACTGTTACTGTTATACTTTTGGAAATGTCATGGATAGACAAAGATTGCAATTGCTTGGTGTGGCTTGCTTGATGATTGCGTTCGTAAGTTTGTTATTCAAAACGTTTTGTGTATTATCATTGTGTATAATCTTTCTACCTGCATCAGATGCCACAAAAATTCTTGACTTGGGAGTATAATAATATAAATGGGTAGTTGTTGAAAATATGAGGACATTTGAGCACCTCAGGTGGAAGAATTCTGCTACATAACTGATAACACATTCAATTTTTGTATCTTTTTCTACAGTTACTTTAGTTTACATAAGGTAATACCTGCAGAACATCCTAAAACGTTCAAAATTTTCAGGTTCCTCAAATGGAGTCTGATGTCTAGAATACCTAAAATTCGAAATGACAGCAATCACAGTCAAACGTTTCTTGTGGTAATAGTTTATTTATATCTAATTTAACCCATTCTAGAATGAGATATTAATACTCATTATTCATTTACTTTCTGTAGGTTTGTGCCTATCCCATCTATACTTTTCCTACCCAACAAACGAAGCGAAGCGAAGGGTCCTGTGTCCCGTACCTCTCCCTTGGCCTGGGAATGATAGAAGAACGTATGGAAAGAGGAAGATGTTGAGTAAAGCGTGATTGAATGATTTATGGAAGACACCGCGGGCTGCACAAGGTCTCGATGAGGTATGATCTTCATTTGAACAACCCCATATTCTTTTTCCCATGAATTCTGTTTTACTTTTTTTTTCAGAGGTCGTGCCTAAAATGTATAAATATTGTGGTTGCCTTTCCAAGCTCATTTACTGCAATTGGAGTGCTTGGAACACTACATTGCCGGATTATCTATTCTGGAGTACAATATGCTATGTTATGCCCCATTGGTCATAGCAGCCAAATTCAGTCTCCTACCCGCTAAAAAGACCTGGGTATGTTCTGCGATATTAAAATTAAATCCCCTGGGCTTTCTGTTTTTCTCTGAGACAACAAATTGATTTAGACATAATTTTATTCAGCTTAAGCATTTCTATTGGTGTATGACATAAACTGTCATTCATTTACGGTGGGTCGCATGTGGCCGCCTAGTCTCTCTTTTACATATAAGTAAAAATATGTGGTCTTAATAGGCTGACACATGTCTTACTAGGTCTGTCTCTTATTTTTGTGAATAGGCATGGAGAATTTGGAGCTGAAGTAGAGAGGATTCTCAGAGGCGATTTAGTCCTAGGTATTTCATTTTTGTTTCCAATAATTGAGTTCTTTTTATTACATTCGAAGGTTAATTCATCAAGCTTATATGGTCATGTACATAAAATAATATTTTTGAATCAATTCTAAGTGGAACACCATCTTTTGTGTATTTTGGGAATTTCACAGTTATTTGTCCACAGTTTCTTTTATGTTAGTGTACTATGTTAGTGGTTGGAGATCCTGAGGTGGGTAAAAGCATGCTATTGTTGCATGTAGCAATATTGTTCATGGCGTCGAGCCTTCTCGTTAAACAACATATTTACTCATTTTGAAAATTCTTATTCAACAGCAAAGTTGATGGAGCAATTTCACAACCATCTGTTTCTTAGCTCGACATTGGTGAGAACATTGAAGTATGATGCTCGACTGATGAGAACATTGAAGTATGAAGCTCAAGGCGTGAGAACATCAAGTATGAAGTAAGCTCAGGGCGTGAGAAAATTAAGTATGAAGCTCAGGGCGACAATGAAGATAATCATTATGAAGCCATCTATAGTTATTATAATTTCATGAACCATTATGTGTGTTCATGTTCTCGTTTTAGATTTTGGTTGTAGATAGTATTATATGTACATTGCTATATTGTAGATTTAATAAATTGAATTTATTTTAATATTCACTTGTCATTATTTGTTCTATTATCAATTATTTAAATTGGTATTGAACATTCAAAATTGCTTTAGAAATAATAATTATTAAATAAATATGATTGTCAAATAAAAGTGTTACATTACCACTTGAAAAATAACACAAAATAAACACTATAGTGCTACAATTATGAAATAAAGTGTTATGTTTTAATTAAAGTGTTGCAAAAATAGTGTTGCATTTGATAAAAAGTGTTACCTAAATATTATAGGCAGCATATAGTTTATGCTACTTCAAATGTTACAATATGTTTATAAATGCAACACATAATATAAGTGTTATCAAAAGCTACAAAAAATATTACCTTTGACTTTAGGTAGCATATGCAACTGCAGCGCCAATGATTGTGCTACCTATTGTCTATAGTAACATTTTTAAGCTTTTATGTATCACTTTTTTGGCGCTACCTAAAGCTATTTATGTTGTAGATAAAAGGCATATTTACCCTATTTTGAGGGGAGAAAAAACTTGATACACAAAGGGAGAACGTGGAACACAAGGAGAGGAGTACTAGAACACACAAGAGATGCAATTGAGAAGCAAAGAAGATCCAACTACGAAGGAATCAAGAAGATTGAGAGATCAACAAGGTTCCTAGTTTTTTTCTTCTTCTTTATTTTGATCTTTTATTTATCATTTCGATTTCTAATATGTCTATGTATTTGAATTCGAACATGAGTGACTATATTATTTGATTCTAGGACTTGGTAATAGATTAATATGTTCGGATTTTGGATGAATTATTATAATTGATTGTCTTATTTTGAACCCTATTCAAATATTTTGCTCTTATTTCATGTTTAGCACTTCATCAATGTTTTTACATGTTTGACAATATTGTTCATAATTCGAGAGATGAGTGCAATTTTAGGTATTTAATATTTGACACAATTTACTTGCTTGAATCGAGAGATTAGTAGGTCATTGTGAGGATATTAGATCCTTTAATCTATTTGGAGTTGAATTGCATGTGTTGAGTGGAGACGCTAATATATGTGATTTAATATACGATTTTATCGATCTCGAGAGGGACAATAAGCGAAATTTTTGATCATCTTATAAGGTAGATAAATAAAACTTTTAGTTGTGATATTTTTTAAGGAGCACAACTATTAATTGAAACCACAGTTTTAGAATCTATCATTCCCATATATTTTCTTACGTGCTTTTCTAGCTAGTTCCTTGTTTTTGATTTATTATCTTTCAATTATATTTTCTTAGTTTAGTCAATCCATCACCTATTCGATCGTCTAAATAAAGTTGACACTATCATAATCTTGTACTTGATATATTAATTATTTGGTCTCTTGGGATATGACCTTGCTTGCCACATACTACGAACGAAGCCGTACACTTGCGGTCGAGCTTTTAAAATATAGGCGAACACATATACATTTATTCATTATTCAAACCGATCAGAACAGCTAATAAGAAAAACATTAGACAAAGACCTAATATATAAAATATAAATTCAACAGTATGATACAACATCGTGAAAATTTCTAAAGCGTATATAATAACCAATATAATGGTAATTATAAATAATAGATCAAACATTTTTCTTTTTATTTTTTTTTTCTTTTGAGGAGAATATATTGTAATATTTTGGAATACATGAAGTGAAGTGTTATATATATATAGATTGATTAATATGTTAGTGTTATATACTAAAAGCTTGGCTTTGCATGATTGTTCGATAATTATTTTCGCTATCCACAAGTATACGGAGTAGCTATAGGTAGTGGCAAGCAAGGTCGTATTCCACCGAGATTGTAGTTAAATTAATTAAGAACTAAAATAGTGACAATTAAATATTATCTAGACTAATAAAGTGAATGATGAGTATTAACTAATAAATTAAACTAAGAACTAATTTACCTAATAAAATAAAAATAAAACAAGATACAAACGATAGATTCTAGGCTAAGCGTCCCTCGGAATTAGTTTATGAAACATTTATATTTAAACAAACCTTATTTGATTTTACCAATCGTATAGATAATCTCTAAATTGATTTCAAACCTTTCTCTCGAACAAGTTAAATCGTAGATATTAATTGTTATCTATCTCCTCTCGGTCTCAAGATGAACAACTAACTCCCATAAGTTCCTAGGATTTTCGTTCTCTAGTAAGGTCCTATCAACTTCTCGGTTTGTTTATTCTCTTACGTTATAAATCTCCCAATTCTAGCAATCAATTATCTCCTCTCGGTCTCAAATCGATCACAAATATGCATTCATAGTGGTCATCTACTCACACAATAATAATAAACGAAAGATAAACCAGAATGAAATAAATAAAAACTAAATATAAATCAATCCGAGTACTAACAAATCCTATAATTTAATATAAATCTAGCCTAGAAACATGCTTTCAAAATAAGAAAAATAGATATAAAACATTGAGTTCGAAAGAGGTAAAGAAAAAGAAAGAAAAAGTTTATTCGGCTCCGTTGATCCTTTCTTCCCGGCTTTCTCCCTCGTCTTTCTCGTGTTTCTAGCCTCCAAAAGTCTCCAAAGATCTTAAAATTATGTCCAAGACTCCTAAAAAATGTGTCCAAGGGTTGTATATATAGTTGAGGTCGAGTCCTAGTCGAAATAGGTCGAAAAACCCATAAAAATAGGAAAAACGTGTAAAACCCGTGTTGGTCGCGCCCAGGGTTATGGGTCACACGAGTTGTGTGAGAAAGTCGAGAGTTAGATACACGACTCGTGTCTCGGGCTCACACGACCCGTGTGTCGTAAATGTGGCTGAAACTCCATTTTCGCAGCTGTTCTCAGATCCTGGCGTGTTCTACGGGTTCTCAAGCATCTTCCGATTGTCGTACCATGCTTCCAGGTGGTCAGAATACTTCCAGGTGGCCGGCCATGCAAGCTTCTTCTCCGGCATAAGAATGGCTTCCAGGTTGGTTCTACGGCGGAATGATGGTGGAAGAGGTCAGTGAATCTTCGGCATCTGTGCAGGTCGTCGGGCGTGGCGAGTTGGTGCGGTGGTTGAGCTCCTCCCCTGCAGCAATGGCGGTTCCGTCAGCTTCTCCGGCGTTCTTTGGCAACGATGGTGGATGGCGAGCTTTGAGTTCTCCAGCGTCTGGGCATAGGCGAGGTGGATCGACGGCAACGTGGCGAGTAGTGGTGGAGCTCTGGCAGCTCTTTCATGGCAGCAAAATGGCGGAAGGCTTTGTACGTAAACGTGAGGAAGGAGAAGATAATTCTCCATATCTGTTGAAGCACTACTATGCCCCCATTTTAAGTAGACTTTGGGCCAGCCCAATTCCTTGTGTATATGTCATCTTGTGCCACTAATTCATCTTGTTAATTGCTTTATATTGGGCTAGCTCAAAGCAAATAAAGTCTCATTTGCCACAAATTCACACATGCGGACATCATCTTGGGTTCGTTTAATTGTACAACCACATCTCATTTAGATCCGTTTTACGCCGTTTTCGACTCCAAATATTAATCGAACCTCTTTCCTGTTAAAACTCAAATAAAACACCTCATCATAACTTAATAAAAATAATTTAATAATTAATTAATTAATTAATAACTAATTATATATCAAACTACAATGAAACAGATACAAAAATCACTATAAAATGCACGAAAATATGACGCATGTCAATGATATTACACATTTTTCCTTTATGAATGAGAATCATGTTAGATTAAGCAAGTTCTACGTTCTGTTGTTCTGCACTTAGATAGAGTGGGTCGTCATTGGGTGAACCGAAGATCATTCTATCAGTTACTTGCGAACAAGAATAGTTGTTCACAACCTAGATGGACATGAACACTCCATCCGAACGGTTGTAGTGTCAACTGTACAGTTTGTCTTGACTGATTAGTTGCACTAGTACATTTATGTATTGAACAGGATCCCAGAGATGAGAAGTTCATTTTATACTGACCGTCGTAAATGAAGTAGGCCTCGGTTAATTACTGCGTTCTCTTAACCCGTAAGATATTAAACAGGCAGATATATATAGTACATATTACTTTGATTCACATGGGTGAAGTTCAGTTCGCTGGATTAATATTCTTATTGTTTTGGGTAATATTACTATATATAGGATATGTTGTTAGGATATTTACGGTCACCATGTGCGTTAGTTTGATGATGTTCCCGGAGTGAGTTCATGAAGGATTGTTATGCTAAACCCTGCAGGTGGATTAAATTTCGGCATAATAAGAATGTGATGAACGAGCGCTAGCTTCAGTGAAATAATAATAAATTAATTAATTCTTGATTGTCAGTAATCGAATTAATTATTGGACATTATATCTTAAACGTGGGGAGGTAAATCTGTAGTTATTGTTGGAGTCTCAAATGTAATTTGGGCTAGGAAAAAAGGAGTGTAATAATATAATGTTGGTGACCCATTAATATTATTTAATTAATTAGAGGAGTGGGCTTCGCCCACAGTTAGTCTAATTAATTAAGGAGCCGTATTCCTAATCTCCTAAGGGTCCCTACTGTAGCTCTATATATACATCATTAAGCTCATGAGAAGAGAACATAATTGCACAATCATGTGTAACACGCCTCAAGCGACTCTTTCTCTGTCAGTTCTCATTCGAGCTTTATCTTCTTCTTGTTGCTCCGCTGGTACAAGTTGAAGAAGGGTGTATTGAGTAATACAGTAGAAGATCCATAGGTATTCGAGACCCGGTGATCATCTACAAAAGTTGACGAACCACGACGGGAAGGCCGAGATCCGTCAACCCGAACGCTGCAAACTCGCCGCGAGCCGCCGTGACCCAGCCGAACGGAAGCTG